AAAAAAAAAAAGTCAATGTGCTTATTGGGATTAAGCCCAAATAAGAGACTTAATTATTTTTTTTTCCTAGCATCATGGGAATTTTCGCACAGTACAAAAAATAAGGCTTTGTAACATGACTTATTGGCCCACCATAATTTTTCCATGGTTTAAAAGGAATTAGTCTCAAAAGAATCAATTGCTTTTTAAGGTCCGTGACCCAAACGAAATACATCATATGTAAATCTCAACTTTAAGTCTTTAAGCAAATTTGAAATCCTAGTCTCAGTAGAATATGCATTAGTCCCTTTTTCGGTCTGCTTCCTTTCCTCTTTCAACCTCTCAGCAACGTTGACGGGTTATAACAAAGAACTCCAGACAGAGAAGGCATTTTATTTCCCAATAAACTTCCACAACATCAAGCTTCGCAGGACTAAATTATTTTCCTACCCAACTCAAACTCTTCTCCCATCTACAAGTTCTTCAGGCTGCCCCGGCACTTCCTGCATCTATAAAAGGCCTCCATCTATTCTTAGTTTTCCACGTCAAAAGAGCTCAAAGCAGGTTTGTACATAGGCTTTAATTAAATTTCTTCCTCTTTTTTTTTTTTCTTTTCGCGTTCATAGCTTTATGAGTCCTGAGTTTGATAATTTCGAAAGATAACAACGTACTCTTTTTTAGATATTTTTCGTTTTATCTTCTTTCTTTTGCTGCAACATGTTGTTCGGGACGTTCACATGGCTGTCCGGGCTGTTCGCATGGCTGCCGGGGTGAAACGGAGCGGTTCGAGGCTGTTCGGACGTTTACCGGGCTGAAACGGAGCGGTTCGGGGATGTTCGGACGTTTACTGGGCTGAAACGGAGCGATTCGGGGATGTTCGGACATTTACCGGGCTGAAACGGAGCGGTTCAGAGCTGTTCGGACATTTACCAGGCTGAAACGGAGTGGTTCGGGGCTGTTCGGACGTTTACCAGGCTGAAACGGAGCGGTTCGGAGCTGTTCGGACGTTTACCGAGCTGAAACGGACCGGTTTGGGGCTGCCCGGGCTTCCTTTATTTATGAAGATGATTAATATATTTTTCTTTACATATTGTATGTACTCGTTCAACTTCTGAAACATCCGAAGCACAACCATGGTGTGTTTTAAGGACCTCTCATCCCCTTGCGGCATCTAACACTTGAAGATACTTGATGACGAGCACCGTTCCATAGATGAAGGCACAACTCTTGCGGTTTTTCCACCTCTCTTCAATGACCTCCCACCTCTATGGCCAACAAGATTTACGAATTCCCTCCACCTCAAGGAATGGTCTCAGAAACTTCCATCCAACAAGAAGTCAAAGACATGGGATTGGAAGCAACTCATCACCACCATCAGCCGCTAGACAAACAACCGCCATTCTCCACCTTGGGCCATCTAATCATCAAAGGCGATGCCAAATGGAAAGGAGATCCCACCACGTTCCCGGCGAGTTCCACCACGTCAAAGGCTATTAGGAATGGGCCGAAGATATTCTTAGCCGATGCAAGGACAAGCTTCATTCCGCCAACATATATGACTCCGTTTACGCCTCGTTGTTCACGTATGACTGCAACTCAAACATCATCAAAGCGACATGCGAAGCTTGGTGCCCACAGACGAACACATTGTTGACTTCCCATGGCGAGTTATACATTTATTTATGGGACCTGCACTCGATCGCCGATCTTCCTATTTTCGGGCTACCATATAAGTCGTCCCGAGCGCTGAAGAACTTAACCGCATTGACAACGACGGCTTCAGATTTCTTCCTCGTTCGTGCGGGCACCTCCTACATGCTTTTCACCAACTTCAACAGAACTCCCGCCATGGCACAATCGTAATAATACAATTACATCAGGGGCAAAATAGTCATTCATATATATAAATTTATACTAAAATATTAAAAGTTAGGTGGTGCTAAACCACCCCACCCATACTTATAATACTCCCCCTTGAATGACTATTATCTAAACATATTTTAAATGATTTGAACAAAGCATTAGCTGAACATCTTAAATTGTATCTTGTGGCCATCAGGTACTGGTACTTCAGTATTTCAGGAATAACACGTTGGGACTGTTGTTATACGATTTTGTAACAACAAAAATGTACACCCCCCTTTTGTGAATAGG